TCTAAAGAAATCCTTTGTGGAGACTTGACAAAGCTGCAGAACGTTGCATTATGTGGAAACAAAAGAGTGGAGCGGAGAGGGCCATTGTTCAGCCACGAGCAGAGACCGGTCCCTGGAGCCATTGCACCTCAGCCGTGGTCTGAGGGTGTGAGGGTGTAAGGGTGTGAGGGTCTGAGGGTTTGAGGGTCTGAGGATCTGAGGGGCTGAGGGACTGAGGGTCTGAGGGTCTGAGGGTCTGAGGGACTGAGGGTCTGAGGGTCTGAGGGTCTGAGGGTCTGAGAGTCTGAGGGTCTGAGGGTCTGAGAGTCTGAGGGTCTGAGGGTCTGAGGGACTGAGGGTCTGAGGGACTGAGGGTCTGAGGGTCTGAGTCTGAAGGTCTGAGGGACTGAGGGTCTGAGCGTCTGAGGGTCTGAGGGTCTGAGGGTCTGAGGGACTGAGGGTCTGAGGGTCTGAGAGTCTGAGGGTCTGAGGGTCTGAGGGTCTGAGAGTCTGAGGGTCTGAGGGTCTGAGAGTCTGAGGGTCTGAGAGTCTGAGGGTCTGAGGCTCTGAGAGTCTGAGGGTCTGAGGGACTGAGGGTAATAATTTCTTGAATCAAGTGGTTTTTATCTTATTTTGACCACATTCTGACTGTCCTAAAACGAATGAAAAGAATGATCAATCAAGACGTTGTTACGTTACATACAGCAGAGTATGTGCCAAAAAAAGCAAAAATAAATAATACATGATAATAGTAATAAAGTATAGTAGTAACTAAGTACGTAACTATTATTTATATATGTTTTAAGAGGTATAGAGGAAACCGGAGCACCTGGAGGAAACCTACACAGACACGGGGAAAGGTCTCCAGACTTTGGTCCATTTTCTTCCCTTTGTTGAAGGTTATTATCTATTTATTATATGACTTGGACCGTACGCGCGCTCTGATTTGCTGATTACCGGTCTGACCCATTTTGACATAAAAACTACATTCTGCGTCTTTGTGGATGTGTGAGTCTTGTGAAAACACATTCACTGCACTTTTCTCCCTCTGTTGTTTTAGAGACGTCATGATTAATTAAAGTTGTTTTGAGATTTGCTCCTTGGGGAGAGACGGCGATGGAGACGAGACGTGGTTCTCTCACACGTTATGTACTTTGTAGAAGAAGTCTGTGAGTGGAGATTATTCCCACTTTACTGTAGGGAGATATAGACAGAGAAGAGGGGAGAGAGGAGAGAAGAGAGAGAGGAGAGGAGAGAAGAGAGAGAAGAGGAGAGAAGAGAGAGGAGAGAAGAGAGAGAGAGAGGAGAGAAGAGAGAGAGAGGAGAGAAGACAGGAGAGATAGGACATAAAAGAGAGGAGAGAGGGCAGAAGAGATGAGAGAGAGGAGAGGAGAGAAGAGAGAAGAAAGAGGAGAGAAGAGAGAGGAGAGAGGAAAGGTGAGAAGGGAGAGAAGAGAAAAGAGAGAGAAGAGAGGTAAAATAGAAGAGAGAAGAGGAGAGAGAAGAGAAGAGAGGAGAGAAGAGAGAGGGTTTAGAGGAAAGAAGAGAGTGGAAAGAGGGGAGAAGATAAGAAACGAGAGGGGGCATAGGAGAGAGGAGAGAGAGGAGTCTGCCCCCCGTGGGAGTGTTCATACATGTCTTACTCACATGTAGCGACAGCAGCTGACAACATGTGAAAAAATGAGACCCATGAGGCATCTTAAAGGGGAAGTCTTAAAGGGGAAGTCCGCTCCATCATGAGGAAGGCTGTGTCCTCTTTGTCCTTGTAGAACCTTTCATCACATAAAGATAGAAGTAACTAGATTGTGTAATTGTGACATGTTAGTGCCATATGACCAGCACAGGGACTGGTCTCCTGCAGGGACTCTGAGGAGCACAGGGACTGGCCTCCTGCTGGGATTGGTTTCAAAAATGAGGCCCGCGAGCCACATACGGCCCCCAGAACTCTCTTTTTTTTGCCATTTGGATTTCATGTAAAGTAGCACAAAGATTTATAGGTTTTATAATCCACCAGCAAACTGCAAAAAGGGAAAAAATATCTGAGTATATTCTGACTCAAAACAAGATTCTCAAATGAAGATACCATCCATCCATCCATCCATTTTCTTCCCCTTAATCCATTTCTGGGTCAGGGGGGTGGCAGTCAGAGCTGCACCCAGTCCACTTAGCACCAGCCCCTCACTGATCCTCCTGCAGGTGGTGAGTCCACAGGAGCTGAGATCTTTCATTGGGAGCTTCAGGCAAAGTGGGGTTAAGTGTCTTGCCCAAGGACACAACGACTGCAGTCATCAGTGGGAGTCGTGAAGTAGGTCTTATGGTGGGCTTGAACCCACGAAAGAAAATGAAGATACATTTAGCCAAATTTGAGCTATTTTTGTTTTACTTCACTTTTTGCAGTGTATACAACCAATGTTGTTGTGGTTCGATCCCTAAATACACATCTGGGAGCTCACATGGATGTATTTTCTGGATCTACAGTATGGTCCTAAATCGGCTCTATGCTTTGTCGGTATTTTGATAATACATTTAGCTCATCCAAAAATAAAAGTACTGAAAGTAGTGGAGAAGTACTATTAATAGTAAAAGTATCCGGAGCAGATAGCATTGAATCTGGTGTTTATTTCTCAGACTCAGATTACATCCCAGGGACAGCACTTTTAATTTTTAGGCTTTGAGACGTTCCAGAGAAGTGGGACAGAGGGATGGTCTGTGTCTGAATTTATAAACAGTTTGTGTCTGAAAGCCTGAGTCTGCAGCGGCTGAACTCTCCTCGACTCTGTCCCAAACAAACTCACTCTGCTGTTGTCAAAGTGAACTCTGCACCGGGGCTGTGTGTCCAGGCTACAGCTACATGTCAAAGTCCAGGATTATCAGAGGACACGGAGCAGATTCAGATCCAGATTGTTTGCCATTTGCAGTAAAAACGCATTGGAATAAATATGCAAAAGTCCCCAGTGTGCACCAGACAAATATGACAAGCTAAAAAGTACACGATGCTATTGCCACTGTGAAATCCATGAACTTCACTAGCAAGTGCAAGAATGTTTAAGAATAGAGAGAGGCCAGAGAGACTAGAGAGAGACCAGAGAGAGAGACCAGAGAGGCCAGAGAGAGAGACCAGAGAGATTAAAGAGACCAGGGAGAGACCAGAGACCAGAGAGACAAGAGAGAGACCAGAGAGATCAGAGAGAGACAAGAGAGAGACCAGAGAGATCAGAGAGAGACAAGAGAGAGACCAGAGAGATCAGAGAGAGACCAGAGAGACAAGAGAGAGACCATAGAGACCAGAGAGACAAGAGAGAGACCAGAGAGAGACCAGAGAGAAAAGAGAGAATCCAGAGAGAGACCAGAGAGACTAGAGAGAGACTAGAGAGAGTCCAGAGAGAGAGACCAGAGAGACTAGAGAGAGACCAGAGAGATTAAAGAGACAAGGGAGAGACCAGAGAGACATGAGAGAGACCAGAGAGATCAGAGAGAGACCAGAGAGACAAGAGAGAGACCAGAGAAAGACCAGAGAGACAAGAGAGAGACCAGACAGAAACCAGAGAGAAAAGAGAGCCCAGAGAGAGACCAGAGAGACCAGAGAGACACCAGAGAGACTAGAGAGAGACTAGAGAGAGCAAAGAGACCAGAGAGGGGCCAGAGAGAGACCAGAGAGAGTCCAAAGAGAGACCATTGATACAAGAGAGACACCAAAGAGACCAAAGAGACTGCAAGATTTTAGAGTGCTTTGTTCAGACTGATACCAGCTTGTGGAAAGAAGCTGTTAGCATGTCAGCATATCCAGAGTCCTGCATTTCAGCAAACAATATTTTCTGCCAGAGGGAAGAAGCTCAAACATGGCTTTTCCAGGAGCCAGAAGAGTATTTGATTATTGACCCATGCTATAGCGACTCCCCCTGTTTTGGAAGCAATTAATTCATGTTATTTATATTTATGTTTTTTTTTTATTGTTATTTTGTGTTTGTGTTTCTGTGTATTATATAAATTGAATGAAAACATATTAAGAAGAATAGATGGATGGAGAGTTTGAAGATGCAAACAAGGCCTATTTGTGACAATAAGGTACAAGAATGAGGTCCCAGCCAGAAAGGTACATACATAAACACATATAAATCTCCTTACATTCTTTGTCTTCTTCTTCAAAAAAAATCTTTTCTTATCTTTGTAGCATAGTCTTTTGAAGAAACAGATACATTCTCCTACATTTCCCTGTTTCCTACAGCTCCATTCTTCTCTACTCTACTCCAGGACACTTTCTTACTTTCTTTACACTTTATTAACATTTAGGCTACTTATTTTTAGGAGTTAAATTATTGTATAATGTTTCAGGGCCAAATACTGAATCATTTCTGGCGCACACACGGGTTAATATAATATAATTGAAGTGAATTGTGTCAAAAATAAATAAAAAAATAAACCGTTTTAAAAAATGTTGAAAAGAGGCTTTGCATTTAACACTTTTGACTTGTGGATGTGGGATTGTGCCTGGGGTGATTCACAGATGAAGTCAAACATCCTCACAGAAGCACCGTGTCCCTCACAGACTGCCTTCGCACCATGTCGGTCTCCATGCTGATGCTATGCCTATCCAGAGAGCCTCGCTGTGCGCATGCGTGGTCATACCGCCTCACCGCAGCTAGGGGGCGTCCTCATGGCGCTCTGTCCTCGACGTCCACCTCCACCGCACCGACTGCAACCAGAGAGACCGGAGAGAGACCAGAGAGAGACCAGCGAGAGCACAGGGAGAGACCAGGGAGATACCACAGAGAGCTGAGAAGCGGCCAATGAACCACGGGCCCCGGACAGAAGAACCAGCTCTGCTCTTGCCTCCTCTCGGTCCTAGCTTTATGCATCCCCTCACATTCTCAGGGGGATAGGGCGTCTTCAAGTTTGGAGCTAATTCTTCTTCTGCGTTCCCTCTTTATTCGTGCGCATCGGATGTTACTTGCCGCTGGGGAGATTGGCGTAAAGCAGGTGTGAGAGACAGAGGCGCTCGTCCCTGTTTCCAGACCCGGGCGATGTCGAGCGAGAAGCCCCCAGACAGCCTCCCCTCTCCCTCTCCTCCGCTTCTCGGGTCTTCCGTGAAGCAGCAGCAGCAGCAGCAGCAGCAGTGCATCACCACCTCCTCCTCCACCTCCTCCATCACCGGGGAAAGGATGGTGTCTTCGGCCGGGTCTATGGTTCTCCCGGGTGGGGTGATGAATCCCTCCGTGCCCATACGGAATATCCAGATGAAATTCGCGGTTCTGGTGGGTCTCATTGAGGTCGGAGAGGTTAGCAACAGAGACATCGTGGAGACAGTCTTGAACCTGGTAAGTCACCCCCCGTTCCTTCCTTGGCTTGCTTCCGTTTCGCCTGGTTCTATACGGCCACAGCATCAGTGCGCAGTCGCTTGTATGTTTTATTTACGCTCGGTTCAGATGTGCTTGTGGATATGGTGATGTCATATGTTTGCCAAGACTGTATAAGCAAAGGGCAATGCTTATTCACACAGACCCACGCACTGGCTCTATACGAGTGGGAGAGATATACATTTATATATATACAAAGTGCACTATTGTTATAAAGCCAGAGGAGATGAATGAACCATGTGATCACAGCAGACGCGTGAGGCTATTCTAATCACCAGCCATTGTTGACTAAATGAACCGCTTGCTCCGGTAAGCATAGGAATGATTATGCATTCATTCAAAGTGTAATAAAACTGGAGGAGATCCGCGTAGAGGAGATGCAGGGGAGGCAGATGTGACGGGATGCTAAAGGCTGCGCAGCGCCTTCAACACAAATGCCTCGTTTTCCTCTTGATCTGGGGATGATGCAGTACCAAGGTCTGCTGCCGCGGACATCACAGTCATGCAAGACGGACAAAGGCCCATGCACGACGAGCACGAAGCTACCATCAGTCAATGTGAGAGTATGTGGCCGTGGCTATGGTGTTATGCACGGCCTATTGTTGGAGCAAGGCCTCACCCTGTGCGCATGAGGCTGGAGGTGGATAGGTACAACACCGTGATGTACGAGTCCGAAAGCGAGATAGATGGATGATTGCATTCGGGGATCACATCACAACACCCCCCCTTCCCTTATTTATCAGTAGCTCGGAATGTACTGCCTGGTACATACTGCACAGCTCAGGGTTTAATCCAGGCTTGGGCATCACTACTGTGGCACTGTTACGAAACGCAAGGGGTAAATGTATATACAGCAGGCGTCTGTCTGTGTCTGTGACTGTGGCCGGAGCTGGGGCTGGAGCTGGGGCAGATGTGGATGTAGGACTGTGTCAGAGTCTACCCTCCTCCTCCTCGTCCAGCATCAGAGCATCAGACTATGGCGTCTGCTGCATGACACCACAGAACTGCCAGAGTGTATAGAGTGACTGTGCCTCTCTCTCTCACATTGTGCAGTTATTTTTGGGCAGAAGTGTTGCCGTTTATAACCTGATTTGAAACAGCTTGTCTCCAGAGGTTGCAGGGGCTGGTGCTGCTGGAGCCGGTGGCCCAGTTACAGAGAGCTCCTCCTGGGCAAAAGCTCTTCTGTCAGCCTGCTCTACATTTCAGGTCCCTCTTTGCTCATTGATTATTGGTGTTGGACACATTGGACACACAGTGATGGGGGCAGACCAGGGTAGATAGATCTCCCTATAGCTCTCCTCTCTCACTCTATCTCTCTTTCTCTCTCTTGCCGGCTGCAGTGGGCAGTATAATGACCCATCCTCCTATGCACAGTTCTGCTCCTCATACGCTGCCCGGCCGGCATGCATTAGAAAGCAGGTGGAGAGGAGGAGGCGTGGGGCCGGGTGGGGGAGGAGAGACAGAGTGGTGGTGAGATGCTGCAGTGGCTATGTGCTCTGAAATCACCAGCTGATGCAGCGAGACCCAGGATCAGATCTGTGTAAAGTCACCAGAGCATTCAGCTGGAATGTCCTCCATCTTACCTGCTTTTAAAATCCCCATACACTGACTTTAAAGCAACCCTTTTGAGTTTGTGCACACCATAGCCATGCATTCAAGGCCCATGCACACTGTGATAAATTAAATTTCAATGTGTTGGCCAAACAAAGATTTCCTGGCTAAACCTTGAATTGGACAATCAGTTCTGGTTGCAGTGCTGCCAATAGCTAAGCTGTAGGGGAATTCTTGCGGCCCGTTCCTTAATTAAAAGAGTTGAAACAAAGAGGTGTGAGGCACAGACCTCAGTGGTCAGCCTGTCGGTACAATGAGTCCTCTGTGGCCTAAACCTGATCCATTAGAACAGTCGATGTGGGAGACCGCGGCACACGGCTCTCCTCAGGGTGTATTGATCCCGCAGCCTAAGGGGACAGATGGCTTGTCTATTGCTGCTGATATGGCCTCACGGTCTGTGGTCAGGGCTGTTTTGGAGGCGGACGAACTCTCGAATCGCACACCAAATGCAAAGAAAAGACAACAATGTGCGATGGTGGAGATACAGCGACGAGAGTGGTGTTGTATTCCCAGATTCTGCACAGGCGATGGTGGCAAAACAGCAAATCACAACATTTGTACAGTTATTTATCCCTTAAATGTCATTACGCACAAAGTTATAATGGATAGTATCATAATAATGCAAACAATGATAACATTTTAGGTAATAATTGCCTGAATCGAGTGGTTTTTATCCTAATTTGAGTACATTCTGTCTGTCTTGGTCAAAATGTGCTCAAATTACATTTTTTTTTACCAAATTTGAGCAATTTTTGACTAATTTTTCATAATTATTAGCAGTGTACCTTGTATTTTCTTCTATTTTAATCGTTCCATTTATTGACATATCTTTAATATATTTTTTAAGACATATATTTTCATTCATAGCTCCTCTTATTGTGTTGTATGTTGCTTTGTAGACGTGAGTGAATTTCTAAAGTGCTCTATCTACAGTATGTGCTGCACTTTTGAAAATGGTTTATGTATAAAATGTGCTATAAAAATAAAGTGGATTGGATAATGTCAACAAAGAAGAAATGCCCGATTGATTCAATACCAGCATTTTTCAAAGTCTGACTCTTTGGCTGGTTGGTGGATTCGATTCTGTACATAAACAGGAGTTGGTGCTAATGCTAATGCACTAGTTATAATTAGGACATTTTTATCTATGTTCAGAACTTTGGAAACTGTTTGTGTATAAATTGTGCTATACAAATAAAGTGGATTGGATAATATCATCATAGAAGCAATGTCCGATTGATTTGATACCAGTATTTTTCAAAGTCAATTCTCTACATAAACAGTAGTTGGTGCTAATGCTATTGCGCTAGCTGTAATTAGGACATTTTTAGGGTTAATTTTGTAATACCTTATCTATTTTCAAATTTTTGGAAATTGTTTTTGTATACAATGGGCTATAAAAATAAAGTGGGTTGGATGATGTCAACACAGAATCAATGCCTGACTGTATTTTTCAAAGTTTGACTCTTTGGCCGATTCTGTACATAAACAGGAGTTGGTGCTAATGCTAATGCTAACGCGCTAGTTATAGATAGATAGATGACTTTATTACAGACTCATGGTCCAGATCAACACAGACAGACAATAAAAACCTCTAGACTTTCAAGAGGCAGTCAATAATTAGGCCATCTTTAGAGGTCATTAATTACGTAAGGCCTTAATGGATATTGATGGGAATAGTCTCATCGTTCGGCCTCTCATTTCAGTTTCAGCTCATCTGACTAGTGAGTTAAACCAGCTGGATTTCAACAACAGAACCTGGCAACTATAATATGATAACATAAATAATATGGCCCTCATTATCTCTGTTTAATAATGACTAGGGCTGGGACTCAATAAAAAATAATAAAAAATTCTGATTAATTAGAGGCTTTGTAATTAATTAATCGCAATTAATTGCATATAAATATTTGACCTGAGAACAGTGAGAAATAATTTATTTCACATGGATTTTTAGTTTACCATTGAATAATGACTGAAAACATAAGCAACACATGTTGGTCTGTAAAGTTGGTCTGTACTTGTAATAATGTACTTTTGAACAAAAAAAGTCACGGAACTCGAGTTGGTGCTCCAGTATAATCGGTCCGTCTGAAACTCATCCAGTAAGGAACGTTCCGCGGTGCAACGTCCCATACAATTAAAATGCGTACAAAATTTTAACGCCCTAATTTTTGTGGCGTTAATTAATCTTAATTAACGTGTTAAAGTCCTGGCCCTAATAATATTAATAAATCAGTACCAATGTTATGATCAGAAAAGCAAGGCAGGTTTATTTGTATAGCACAGTTCATACAAAAGGCATAGTAGAAGCCTGTCTAATTTTTTCAGGCAGACTGTTCCAGATTTTCACACCATGGATATGAAATGGCTGTATATGATTTGAACCCAGATCATATTAAAATAGTGAGAGAGCTAACCCAAACCCTAACCTGAAATAAATAAGCTGTAACCCTTACCATAACCAGTGAGTATTAAATGCAAATTTGAATAAAGAAATAGCAACAAAATGTGAATATTTGCTTCAATAATAATTACTTCTGCCCGGAACGAAACACCAAGATTTTAGTGAGTCCCATACTTTCAAAGGTATATAGCAGATTGGATTCAATTGGATTCTTAGTTTTTTTTTTCTTTTAAAATCGTTGAAAATGTGTTTTTTTAACATTGCTTTTATGGGAGATGGTCGTGTGCTATTGAACAGATTGAGGATCCCAGCTTGTTGTTCATGTGACATCACAACACACCAAATAGCCTGTGCGTTTAACATTGTTTTGGATGCCATTTTACGAAAAATGTACTTTTTCTGTAAATCCGGGTCTGATCCACGTGCAACAAAAACAGTCACAAAGTTTGACATCTTCTTTGTCAGTTCACGTCAATTATTGTCTAATTATTATTTTCCTATGAAGTTGTCTAGAAGTGGTGACAATATTACAAAACCTATACCTGACATTGGCGAGTAGATCGGACTTTCAAACATAAGTATAAAATGGCAGCTTTGTCTATCTAAATCACTATCAAATAATGATCTGGGACACCATTTGGACATTTTCTCTTTAAATATTGTGTCTTTCCCATCGAGGTGTGTTGGCAACTTCCCGAAATACTGAAGTAAAATTCAGTAAAACGCAAACTAATTTCTGAACAGTAAAAACACATTATTACTTTGGAGGTTGGATTTGCGCTGCTTTTTTGTACATACAGTATCTGAAAACCTGGCTCACTTTTGTTCACTCCACCAATACTGTTAGTCTATTTTTAGGTTTTTTATATGGAATTAAAAAAGCTCACAAAGGACAGTGGATATTCAACGACATTTATGAACATCTATTAACATTTATGGACATTGGTCTGTGCCTCTTATGGACCAATGGCTCTATGTGTTTCATCATGTCCTGTGTCTGAACTGATTCTCTAATTTGTGTTGGCGAATCGACAGCTTTGTAAAATTCTTCGGGATAACTACAGTTGGTATTTAGAGCAATACAAAAATACATTGAATTGAATCAAACAAAAAAATGTCTTTGTGTGTCCCAAAAACCTTACCAAACGTATAGGATTAAGATTAAAATATCCTATATTCGTCCCACAGTGGGGAAATTTGACTGTTGCCTCATCAGTTACTAAACAGTAGGAATGAAGAGCACACGGGACAGGATAAATGAACAATAGCTGCGTTTCCATTGAATAATGCGCAAAAACTTTTTCGATACATTTCAAAATTCGAAAAACCTGTAATTCGCAAAAGCGGCCGTTTCCATTAAGACATATTCGAATAAGTATACACTATGGTCGCGCGTTTATTCACTAGTTTCTAGTACGTCAACATGGCAACAGAAGTAAACAACACTTTGATTTACGTGAGATATATTAATGTCTTGACTTCTGCTGCAGCTCTCATCCTCTCTGACCCCGGGAGAAACTGTGGCTGCTTTGACAGCTCCGCGAACGCGCGTGGTCATGTACCGAGCGCGGACCATAGACGCGCGCACAGAACCATAGACACGGGTCTTGCCTGTCTCCCCCGTCTCTCCCCCATGCCTCTCCCCCGTCTCTTCCCCGTCTCTTCCCCGTCTCTTCCCCGTCTCTCCCCCGCCTCTCCCCCGTCTCTCCCCCATGCCTCTCCCCCGTCTCTCCCCCATGCCTCTCCCACGTATCTCCCAAGTCTCCACACGAAGCGCAGCCAAAACTCACTGAATAAAGCAGCTCGGCTTCCTCCGCTATATCGAAATAAGTGTTTCCATTGCCGTTTTGCGAAAAACTTAATTTCGATACGTCCAAAAAACCACCTATTTTAAGCGCATTAACTTTTTATCAAAAAACTGTGGTTTATTCGAAATTTGCGCGTTTCCATTAGACATTTTATGATGCGCAAATTCAAATTTCGAAATTTGATGCTCAATGGAAACGCAGCTAATAACTGGAGCTGGAGGTACATAAGAATTCCTATGCCTATAATGTGTACTGTATGTGACAATAACAATAAACAAAACTAAACTAAAATCATCTACACATCATACACATCTACTCCTCCTCCAGCTGAATACCCGAAGTCCTGTTTCTGATGTTTTGCCAAAAGCTCGGTTCGAAGAGCTCAAAGTGGAGCGCGGGTCTTCGGTGCTGTAGTATATAGGAGGATATACTGTCTGTCTGGGAGGGAGCCTTTGCGAGAAGTGCTCAGCGATTACCATCAACAAGGCATCGCGGTTGTCACGGCAACGCTGCTCTTTGGCTGCCTGCCTCCCCAGACGAGGGCCACATGCTGCTGCTGCACTTCCTGCTCATCACCCCCCCTCGTCCTCACCCCTTCCCCCCACCTGTGTATGTGTGTATATATAAAACTACTGCTGCAGTATTCTCGTGTTATTATTGGGACACCAAATGTT